AAAATGTATGCTTCATGTTAACAGTTTCTCTTATTTTAATAGAGAGGAGACAGTCGCCGCCCTTGTTTCTCTAGGCGCGACTCCCGGGGCCCTAACCGACCCATCTGCTGAATGCCCTCTGGCCAGAACCCCTGCTGACCTGGCATCTTTGAGTGGGCACAAAGGGATATCCGGTTTTCTCGCGGAGTCTTCCCTGACCACCCAACTCTCAAACCTCGGAGTTGATGATCAAAGCACATCAGAGGTTTCATGTGCCAAAGCAGTACAGACAGTTTCCGAACGTTCAGCACTCTCAACAGGCGAGGGTGACGTGCCAGATGCTCTCTCCCTCAAGGACTCACTTGCAGCCGTCTGTAACGCCACTCAGGCGGCGGCACGCATCCATCAGATTTTCCGGATTCAGTCATTTCAGAGGAAGCAATTTGTCGAAAAGGGTGTTGATGAGCTGCTGGGTTCAGATGAGCGTGCTATTTCTCTTACTGCCTCTAGAGCCTCTGGCTTGGGCCAGTCTGGTCGTACGGAAAATGCTGCTGCAGTGCGTATCCAGAAAAAGTTTCGTGGTTGGAAGAAGCGGAAAGAGTTCCTGTTAATTCGGCAGAAAGTTGTGAAGATCCAGGTTCGGGATTTCTGTCCGTCACATGTCAAATGGATTTATCACTTTTTACTGGGATCTATGACTACAATTATTTGAAAGATTTGATAAGCTCTTTCGTATTATGATATGTTCTGTACCTGATAGATGTCGGATCATGTTCTGAAAGTGAGTTCTTGAAGTGTTGGGACAGAATAAGATAATGGAGCTTTCAAGATTTTGCTAATGGTGAATCTGCGTCTAAAATGATAAAAACTAATGGAGTTTGTCACCGTGAGATCTTATTCATAAGCTTTAAGATACTATAGAACACTTCTCAATGGATCTTCTATATATTGGAAATGGCGGTTCTTGTGACATTTTACCCTTAAATATAATCTGACTGTCTATTTTTCAGTTGATACTGGAGCTTTTTNATTCTGCTAGAATTAACTCCTCTTTTTGTTGTTGATAGGCTCACTTCAGGGGGCATCAGGTCAGGAAGAAATATAAACCTATTATCTGGTCAGTGGGGATAATGGAGAAGGTGATCCTGCGATGGAGGCGTAAAGGAAGTGGCTTACGTGGATTCCGGTCTGATGCTGTCCCGAAAGTGCCAAATGCCCAGGACACCTTTTCACAGGAAGACGATTACGACTTTCTTAAAGAAGGGAGAAAGCAAACTGAAGAGAGGATGCAAAAAGCACTTTCTAGGGTGAAGTCCATGACTCAATACCCTGAAGCTCGAGCTCAGTACCGTAGGCTGTTGACTGCTGCTAAAGACTTCAGAGAAACTAAGGTACCTATTATCATGTTTCTAAATCAAGTGTACTAAGGTGCATAGCAATTTTTCAGCATGCTTTTATAATTGTGAATGCAAGTAAAATTTACTATTAACCGTTCTTAAAGATTCTTGAGATAAGAACTTATCGTTGGAACAAAATTTTTGGCAATTATTCTTAAATTATCTTGACTCTCCACATCAGTATGGACCTTCTGTCTGACATACAGCACCGCATGCGGCATCTTTTGCGATGCACTTTTAACACTATCCTAAGTCATTCCTAACCCAAACTTCAGAATTCTGAAAGAAATTAAAGACTTGAACTAATCTGGGTGGTTACCTTTACTCTTTGCAAGTTAGTCTTTTACCATGATTTTTGCCTTCATTCTCTCATGAAGAAACTACTCAGATTTTATCTATGCATAATACCATTTTGACCTGCAGGTATATTATAGTATTATACTATGTGTTAGAAAATTAATCGAGATAATTGTTATTGTTTTGGTTCCTCTTGCACTGATCATTTCCATTTTCTAGTCGTATTTGAATATGTTTACCCCAGATTTCGTAATAGTTTTTCATCTGTATTTTTTCAGGAGGAGACTTCAGACACGATTCCAGAAAGCATTGAAAATGTAAATTACCCTGAGGAGGATTTGCTTGATATTGAAAGCCTCTTGGATGACGATACTTTCATGTCTTTGGCTTTCGAATGAGTGCGTGTAAACCTTCTTCCTAGGACTGTGCCTAACCTTATATTGTTGCTTATCTTTACAAAATAAAATTGGGAGTATATCTCATTTCTTTTGTAAATATATGGTGGTATAAGAATGTCAAAATCCTGTGGGAATTTGGATGATGATATTTGTACTGTATTCTTTGAAGTGGATTTCCGCAGGATGAAAGAATAGGACAGGCCTGGATAAGCTAACCATACACTTTATATGTTTCTTTTTATGTTAATCGACTAGTAATCAACTGAGGAATTTGTTCGATGACCTTTTATCCGGTGCTATCATATAATAGTTGATGTATTATTATTATTATTATTATTATTATTATTATTATTATTATTAATTATAATAATAATGGGTGTGATCATTTCACTAGACTGCCCAAAATATTATGTTGCTAAATCTTCATATTTTTGTAAAACTTTGCCTTAGAATTGAGGAGCATGGAAGTCATGATGTTTTTCTACGCTATCTTGTTTTCCTTCTAATTCGAATTTATGGGGAGGACAAGGATACCATAGTCCTTGTGGGGGAAAAAAGATAATATTCTTGTCTAATACCACACCGAAAGAAGATGGTATTATTCGTACCTGCATCCGAATCTTATGCCCTTGTTCTAATATGAATTTATGGGAGGACACATCTTTCTAGAAATTCGAAAGAGATTCGATGCAAAATGCTCTCTACACAAATGGTGAATGTTAATTTTAAAGTCAGATTATAAAGATTTTATTTGTTTGCATATGGAAGCCATTATACTTGTAAGAGAATCTTAATTTTTTAGTGAAAATAGGATTTTTAATGAAAATCATAATTTTGACATGAAATTAGGGCTTCTTTTGCAAATCTTAATGTGACAAAAAACCTTATTTTGATTGAAAGAAACCTTGTGCGTTTACCAAGGCAGAACGTTGTGTTCATTTATATTATTTTTTTTGTATTATGATTTTTGGGTTTTGGTTCCATACAAAATAGTGATCACATAACGCTAGTTCTTTGGTGTGGAGGTATACCATCAGAAAGGTGCGAACTTGAAGTCTTATGAGATGTGGAAGGGTAAGTCTCCTAATCTTAAGTACATCCATGTATTTGTGTGTCATTGCTATATATATATATATATATATATATATATATATATATATATATATA